AGACTGCAGTAGACAAGGGGCTCTACACCATGTAGAAGAAGTTAGAGGGGTGATGCACGTGTCATTTTGAAAGTCTGCCATCATCCGTGATCCAAAGTGTTGCAAACACTTGACCTAGCAACTCTGGTCCTCAGAACAGCAGCTTGTAAAGACTTGAGCACAGGTATTGCTCATGCTCTCCCCTTGCCGGAGGCAGAGTTCCTCTAACAACATCCTAATAGCCAGCGTGCTTCACTTCCACTTAAGCTGGTTGCAGCTGCAGAAGCAGCAGCTCTGGGTTGCCAGCTGGCCAAGAAACGCAGCCAGGACAGTCTATCCAAAGGCTGTACAGTAAGCTTTAGGACACAGTGGTGATGCAGGAGATAGCAACCACACATCTCAGAAAAGTCTGACTGCTCATTCCACCGTGTTCTAGAAAGAAATCCCAGATCCAGCAGGGCAGGCACAAAATGAAGTGTGCCTGTTTTCCTACGTGTCAGAGTGTTCTTGCACCTACATTCCCCATGCCTAATTATAGCCAAGGAAAGCTGCTGTCAAATACGGGGCTCCAGTTGGTCCTTGCTAGCCACAGGAAGAGATGCCTTGAGCTAAATAGTGAAGGAAGGAAGGAAGGAAGGAAGGAAGGAAGGGTCATCAGAGAGCCTGACCTCCCACTACAAGTGCTAACTTACATTTTCACTTCCAAAATAAATTGTTACATACACTTGCTCGGATGCAAGAGTTTCCTCTTTAGAATAATAAAGTTATCTATCCTGCAAGGGCCTATCCCCACTAATTAACACATGTTATCAAAAGGCCCCCGTTAGAGTGTTCCAAGGATGGATTCACATTAGAAACAAGACTGTAGAAACATTGGCATATGAGAGGTAAGGGAGGAAGAAAATAGTGGCCAATTCTGACTAACTGCTGCCAAAACAGAGACACTACCATAAGCTCAGCTAGTCCCAGGTAGCAGCCAAGCACACACAGTGTACTCAGTTTCCCCCCACCCCAAAACAGCAGAGCCCTCCTAGCCCAGGCTTTTAGCCATCAACACTACCAGGTAAATCTTTGTGGAAAATGAGCTCTGAGTGTGCTTCAGAGATGTGGGTTTTCAGCCCTCACTTTTGTATCTCAGTTTCCTTTATTTTTGTTTTGAGGTGGGGGATATGTAGCATCTTGTAAGCTTTTCCTCTTGGTCCATGTAGCTTTTCCTCTTGGTCGTTGCACCTCAAGTCAGGCATCGGAAAGCAACATGGCAAGTAACCCACAAATATTTGGCTCAAAATGGAGACTATGAGAAAATAAGCCTTTATTCCACCTCACGGCATTAGGTCACAAGGGAAAGCCCTACCACCATGCTTCAGTGTGGCATTAAATCACATCCCCCGTGCTTCCCCTCATGGGCTATGTTAATTCATAAGCTGTCTACAGCCAAGCCTCTGAGCATCTTGGGACACAGCAAATCTAGCAAGTTAACAGTCGCCTCGACACGTAAATCTGTCAGTGAAGTTTCCTCTTCTAAAGCAGTGGAAATACTAAGTTTGTTTTCAGTGCTTATCACATTTGAAACAAACAAATGGCCACCTCAAAAGTTGGTCTGGCTGCTCAGGAAGCCAACTGAGCACACAAATACCACCTCTCCTTACTACCAGGAGCACATGTCAGGCTGGCAGGCCTCCCATGTGATTTGGACAGAGGGGAGTTATGCAGACTTTAAATTAATTCAAATCCTATGACTAGGATCAGAAGGTCTGAGGCAGAGACTGCTGAGTAAGCCATCTGTCCGCATTTCCTCAGAGGATAGTCCTTGATAAAGGGTAAAACCTAAACCTGCCACCATCTCCTTTGAACCATTTATACCAGCAAAGGATTTGGCTCTCAGCCTGCCACTAAGATTTATAGCTGGTAAAACCCAGGTCTAAAATAGCTGGGAAGGAACGAGCATTGACTAGCACCTCTCTTGGTCATCTGCAGAGAAGAACCAACGGGACATGGAGAAAAGACCACAAGAGACTGGAACAGGCATCAGCTCAGAAAGTCACGCGTATTGCTGTGGGAAGCAGAGGACTTCAGACACTGGATGCCTTTACACCATCTTTGCCTGCCACTTCATAGCTCAGCAGAAGGCTGCTCCAAGGGGGCAGCAGTACATAGCAAGTGAGGAACTGTTAGACTTGGTAACGCTCCCCAGGTTATTTACTTACCGCAGGTATCCCAAACCCCAGACTGCCTGCACAGAACTAGGAGAATTCGGATATCCAACAGGTGCTTTCAGGAGCAAAACTTATTCCTCCCCAGTATCCAGCTGGTACAAGTACCATCACCTCTGATCTTGCCGTGGGACTGCCCTAATACCCCAAGGGCAGAGTCTCTTGCTGAGACAGTTTTGGTTTGTTTCTAAAGAAGGCAGAAACATCCTTCACAGAATACGTGCAGGGTTAATTTCCCCATTTGGATTCCAAGTATTTGCTCACTTCAGAAATAACAGTAACACTTAGCACATCAATTCCTCTCTGAAACGTGCTCTGCTTCTCCGCGGCCCTTCATGCTCCCCTCTCCCCTGCGCTCTGCAACCCAGCCATCACTTGTCCGCAGCAACGGACAGCCCAGCCAGCGGAGCGCACCTCTGGGCTTTGCGAGATGTGAACTCCATCTCTCCTGTCACAAGCTCCCTGTTTGCCAGGGGGCAAATCATTTAGTTATTCGCTGCTTCCATTAGCAGCAAGAGCTGTCTCACCCCTCCGGGCACAGCGCAACGTTCAGTAGCGCAGCACAAGCTGTCAGCCCAGGCAGGTAGGTATTTAATTGGAAGGCAATCTGCATACATGTTTAGAGGCTTTCTGCGGTAGCAAAAGGCCTCTGGCTTTGCAATAAATACACTCCGACATTTTATTCTTGCTGATGTAAATTCTGGCCTTGCCGCTCAATACATTTGGACAAGTTTCTTCCAAGGATTTCCATGCCCTGCACAGGGTCATGCTGGAACCCACTTTCACCTTGCACAGCGAGACCTTAGAGAGCGTTGCAACAGGCAAGAAGTCGGTTACTAGTTTAGTGGGTGGGTTTCGTGTATACCACACTAACACTGGGGAGAGGAAGCATAACACAAGACCGAAACTACTGGGAAAAGAATACAAATTTTGCCTGAATATTCTGTTTCTGCAGAATGGGAGAGGCAGATCTAGTTTTATCTGGCCCATGTGCATTTCAACACCCAATTATACTCACCTGCACTAGCAGGAAACTGACAGCTGAGGTTTTTCCAAGTTGCCCAGGGGATTTACACCCATGTCCTCTTAATTAAGAGAGGTGTAGATAAGTCCCTCCAGATGCTTTGAGCATATCAGCCCAAAAAATTTGTGAGGGCAAAGGATCCAAACAGGTTATTTTCAGCTGCCGTTTCCAAATTTTCTGAAATATTTTCCAAATTAAATTTAAATTTGAATTAGCTTTTTCTGCTCAAAGAATATTCCACTGCTAGGAGCACAAAGCAACCACCTCGAACACTGAACTACACTTTAACCTCAGCCAGAGATGGCATTGCCTACTAGCCTCAAAAGGCCTAACAGGAGGAGAAATCTCTTTTAAGCTCCCTCCAGTCTAGGAAGTTTACTGGTCTGTATATTACAGATGTTCTTGTTCTCGCCAAGCAAGCTAAAATTACAATGCAGACCCACCTGCCAGACAGTTGGGGCATTAAAAATATATTGCCAGCCAATTCTGAAACTAGCCCAGCTGTTGTCTGAGCGACAAGCCTCCTCCTGGAGCAGAACAGTATTCGCTTAGCTGCCTTCCTATGATCCGATGAAGCAGAACATACCAAGGAAGAGGCCAGACACCAGTGACTTCTGCAACACGCGAGACAAGTTAGTTAAAAAGGTTTGGGATGCTCTTGAGGTACAACACAGTGTAAGTTACCAACAGGCTGCAGCAACTCGCATCAACCGAATCCCTGCATAGTGCTGAAGACCAGCCCACGCCCTCTGCATGCCCATGGAAGGAAGGAAGGAAAGAGGAAGGAAGGAAAACCCAAGGCATGCTCTGCTTTACACTCCATGGCAAAGAGCCAGCCACTCGCACAACGATCCCGTTGCATTTAGCCGCCTCAAACATGGCTTCAGACACAGCCCAGTTCTTGCCCAGGATCTGCCCACTGAGTTTCTAGTGAAGAGGACTGCTTTCTTCAGACACACGCTCGTCTGTTGTGCCTCCTGGCCTGGCAAAGGGATCGTTTCACACTGCATTCCCCTGCTCCAGCAGACCCCTTTCACGCACTGCTGCTGTTATGGTTCATGCCCATTATAACCATCACTGCGTTCCAAATTGCACTTCTGGTAACTAAATTTTGTCATTTCACACGTTTTGAGTTTCTACTAAATTCCATTAGGGTTGCTCAGCCCTTTTGAAATTACAGCGCTCCAATATAGGCGAGCTGGGTTATCAGGACATAAAAGCACGCTCAACTAGAGATAGGGCAAAGCAAATCAAGAGATACACGAGTAACTATTAATACAGCATCACTAACAAAGTAGCACAAGATACAAATCTAGTAACAACACATATATGACACGCTGCTCACAGTAGGAATAACCTCTCCCAGGCTGCAGCCAGCACCAACAGCTTCTTCAGTAATCATGTTAATAGTAACCGTAACAATCGCACTAATGAAATGGCCACCACGCTCTTCCCCAGTGCTAAAGCCAGCCACAAGCGGACCCGGGCGCTGCAGAGGCATACGAATGGCCGTTTCCACTGGAGAATCTTACACTTCTGGAAAGAATTTGCTACTTGATGGCTAACAAGCACTGTTAATGACTATTCATACCCTCTTAGGACCCACACCTTCAAGTGCTCTCTGACCGCTATTAGCTCATATCTTCCTATAGTGCAAGTGGAACCTTTCTAGGGGATTTAAGCTACACAACTGCTGTCTATACCTTCTCCTCTTTGCTTTGATCCCACTCAGAAATATCTTTGTTAAAAATAGAAGCTAGACATACACAAAACAGACATCCTACCTCACCATAACCGGTCAAGACTCCTGACCCAGCAGGATATGCAGGGTGATTCGTTAGTCCACAGAAACCACAGCGCAGCTCAAAAAGCGGCAAGATTCGTAGGATACGGGAGGTGGGGAGAGCTTGGTCTAGGATATGGAAGGCAGTTTGCTGCCCGATAAGAACGTTCCAGCCTCCAGCATCCTTCAGGAGGGTTGGCCAAGGTGGTGGAGCCTGGAAAGTTTCAAGTGAAGAAGTGACAGCTAGCGTTATTTACCAAAAAACACAGCCCAGCTTATTCTGGAAGGGAGTGGGGGTGGAGAGAAGAAAAGGAAGTCATCTCATTCTCTTATCAGTGCAAAGCCAGCAGCTGTGAATTGAGTGTTTAGAAGGGGGCTGGGGAGGGTAACCACCATGCACACATGGTATATGACGACATCTGTCTGTCAACTTATGGGCAGCCAAAAAAAAAACTTAAAAAAAAAAAAAAAGGCTTTTGGGCAAAGTTATGTTCCATGGAGTTCCTGTATCTCAACAGCACTTCCTATTAAATCTTCCTCCTCCATGCAGAGCAGTGAGAGATTCCTTCTCCAGCCCTTCAGCGCTGACTGACATCCTTCAAACAGCAGCCATTGCCCTCAGCACGGCTGGGAGCAAGGGGACAGCAAGGCAGCATCTTGTGTGGTTAACGCACAGCTCTCAGATACAGGGTCTGCTCCTGCCAGCAACAGGACTCCCACGCTCCTTGGGAAGAATTTTTCAAGATATTTAGATACCCAAAAACATCTTGGCAGCCCTGCTTGCTTTTTAGAATTTCTAATTTATCCTTAAAAAAATAGTCTCTTCATTTCACTCTGACTCAGCTTCTCTGTCCTGTAAAGCAGGGTTCATAACTCTTCTTTTGGGCACTTTACCTTTGTGAACTGTGAGCTCTTTCGGGAAGATACTGCCCCATTCTCCGTGTTAAAATAACATGTACCACCAGGCCCCCAGAGGCAGCCGTACCTCAGAGAGAAGCATTTCTACACAGCATTTCTGGGCTAACTATCTCTGGAGAGTAGACAGGGGCACGCAGAGCACTTAAGTGTAAGGCACCCTGGTTAGAGTCCGGTCTCCAGTATTTAGTCATGGAGAAATAGGCTCTTTCAGAGAGTGATGCAGAACAGAACCTAATTCTCTCCCCTGACTACACAGGGACACCCAGTTCAGCCACTCAAAACAGGTGCCTAAAGTTAGACAGGCCAAGTATCCCAACATGTCCAGGTCCTAGGTCTAATTTGAGAGATAGCAAGGTTTGCAGGGAGAGACAACAATTTTTATTACATCAGCTCATACAAATGGAAAAAGCAGACAAGCTTTCAGGCACACAGACCTTTTCTCAGGTCATGCCAGGGCAGGAATAATTTGTGTTCTTCGTTCTGCAGGAAGCCAGAGGCTGTGGCCATGGAAGACAACTCCACTCTTCCCAACAGGTCCTAGAACAGTACAACCACATATTTCCCCCTCTTGGCTCAGCAAGCCAAGGAGGAAGACCACAACACCCAGGTCTACCCTAGCAGTCCCAACAAGTGGCACTCTGGATCCAGAGCTACCAAGAGCAAACTTGGGATCATTATAGCCCTGCAATCTGGACACCTGGCTAAATACCTCAGTCCTCTGTGGTTCTTTCACATACTTGCCTCACCAGCTATATACAGCAGGAGAAATGAGACCTCAGAAGGCCATCCTCCTGTGGGCTGGCAAACAATTAAATATACATCAATCAAGATATTAAATAGCTGGGAATGTGGCTGCCTCTGCAATCCTGAGTATTTAGCCCATTATCCCCACAGCCACTTAGCACAATTATAGTTGCTTTGTGGCTAGCCTTTAGTGTGCCAACAGAGCAGCTGAGGCACAGAGGAGATTAGAGATCAGCAAAAGTCCCAACCACAGAGCAAAGCTGAGTGCTCTGGAAGACCTCTGCCTAGGCAGCAGTGAGCCAGGAAACACTGGGCTGGACCAGGTACTGCACACACTGCTGGCCCTGCAGAGGAAGAGCAGAAGGTGGACAGCACAGAATTTGGTTTGCTTTTAAGGTTTGACCCTGCTTATGTGGCTTGTAGAAAAAGAGCTGGGCTTCTCTTCCTGCTAAAGGAGGAAGAGTAAGTAGCTCTTACGCTCAAAACGATGCTAGCTTCCAAGTCAGTAGGGAAAAGCTGACAACTCCAGAGAGACCATCAGAGGAACTCAGGGCTGTAAATCCTGCTAATGGAGAAGCTCCTAATAGCCCTCCAGCAGTGCCAGACTCCTCCATTTGCTCCCCAGATGTCCAGTGCAGCTGGTGGGAGCAGCCCTTAGAATAATGCTTCCCTCATGGGCCCCTGGGACTTTGAAGTGCTAAGAACGAAACGTCTTGCCGCAGGATATGCGATGGGCCAGTGTCAGGGGAAGGGCAGCCCCCCCATCGTCCCTTCACTCACTCAGGTCAGCTCACTCTGTCTCTGCCACATCTGTTCTGATGGCCAAAACAGAATCGTCCCAACGAGAGGCAGAGCTTTGATGTTTTCCAGGTTAACTGCCATAAGATATCTGTTCAGTCAGAACCTGTCCTCTTTCCTCTCTTATGCTAGCATTGTAATATCCGTGACAATGCCACTGTCCCAAACATGAGCCATCCTATACAGTAGCCGCTAAAGAACACCCAAAACGAGCAACGTTCCTGCTGCAGTTTGCAGAGGATTTGGTGAGATTCCAGCGTTCAGTAACAACCACTTTTTCCCTGTCTTGGGCTGAACACAGGCATCACACCCTGCAAAGGAGTTTATTGCATGAGACCATTTTACTAGAACTGGGCCAGCTGTTTGCAAGAGATCCCACACTGTTTTCCACACACTCTTTCCCCTACACTTTAGCGTACATCACTGCTCCTGTACGGATTCTCCACATGGTTCAGAGCCCATCTCAGCTTTCTCATGTAGTCACCAGCTAACAGTACTGCACTTGCCACAGCTTTTTAGCCATCCCTTCACATGGAGACCTGTTAAGCATCCGCCCCTCCCCAAAACGCTTGCCAGAACCCTCTGCCACGGGCCAAATAGACCTGCAGCAACTGAGGCAAGAGCCTCAGGGGTAAATACTGAAGCCAAGGAAGAGAGAAGAAAGGGCTGCCCACTTTATGCTAGACAGAATCATGGCTCAAGCCCAAACACCAGTGCATGAAGTGCAAGCAACAAGGGGGAGAAGACAGCCCTGGCTAATGCTGTAGCCCCTGCTGCAGGAGCTGATTGTTTGTGGAACGGTTCATCACAGAATACGGACTGTTTGGAAACAACCTGCACTACCATTTAGCCTGAAGGCACAAGCCAGTGGCTTTGAGAGACTCCCCTAAAAACCAACCACGGGAAATTCAAGCCCGCTTTCACTTGCATGAGTCTGAAGACTGTGTATATGATCACTATTCAAATCTTTTCAGTGGAAAAGAGGAGATAGAAGACAGGGGAGAAGTGTGAAGAGCTGCTGCTGCTGCTGCACAGATTGCACACAGAGGGGAGCTGTCTTAGCCCGCACCCCACCTTTCCCCTCTCAAAGGCTGAACTTGCCAGAAATCCAGAAGCCAGAAGTACAAATGCACAAAGCGGATATTGCAGCCAAGGAGAGCATGCTCCATCTCCATGGGTCCACATGTTTCTCTGTCGTGTCCCACCTACTCCCTAAAACAGCAAGGAATAAAAAGGCTGAAAGGGGGTGAGAAAAAAGCAGAAGAGCTGATCCAACCACATCACAACCTGCATCCCTGCTCTGCAGTGGCTGAAATCCAACACAACAGGCCTAACCACACTGCAGCTCAGTGCTTGGACATGGAAGGAAAGGGAATTCAGACCCTTAATTTTCTGGCTTTTGCCCAGCTCTGCTGAGGACCAAATTGGAGGTTTAAGGTTTGGAAAAGCCCATTCATCTCCCAGATGCATTGCATCCCTCTTCCTCCGTCAGTCAGGAGCGACTCCAAAGCCTGCCATTTTTAACCTAGTCAGACACTTGAAAACCATGCCTCCCTCAAACTACAGTTCTCCAAGTATGCCAGTTCCTATTAGCTTTGACCATTGAGATGACAGCACTGAAAGTTTCTCCTGCTTTTAGCTGCAGTAGCAACAAATAATGGCCCTCCAGTGCCCACAGTAAGGAGACTGAAAGCCTAGTCCAAGACACAGATAAGAGTAGGTGGGTTGGTTCAGCTCAGTCAGCAAGACGGCACTGCTGTTGCAGCACAACCTCTTGCACAGGTCAGAGCACGTCCTGGCCAAAGACACACCAGGGAGTGGGAACTGCAATCTGTACATCAGGTTGCAACCAAAGGGCAAGGAACAGGCTTGCAACACACAAGCCAGCTGCACCTGCGTGTCGTCTTGCCAAGACTACAGGCCTTGCTAGGGGAGGTTAGAGAGAAAGAAGTCAACATAAAGCCTGGTCAAGGCACTGGTACAGCAGCCACCCACACGGCTCAGACTCTCCAAGTAGTGGTTACACTTCACTGTCCAAGGGCAGCCCCTGGCCAAAGTGTCAGCAATGGTGGTTTTAAGTTCCTTTGCTCCATCTGCTGGTTAGAAAGCTTTTTTAAAAGCTTTGCAGAGCCACCTTGCACTGCTCCCTTGCATGGCCTGCTCACACTCAGGGCTATCTATCCAGAGAGGTTAAAGATAGCCATTTTGGTAAGCGCAGGACTGCGAAGAAAGCTCTCTTTGGAAGGGCAGAAGGCGTTTGAACGCTCACATGAGGAGATCATCCCCACACTGGAAGAACAGGGTAGCTGAGTACAGTAACCAGAAGAGTCACAGCTAGGCCCTCCCCATGCAAACCACAAGCATGACTACTTTCTACAGCAGCAGTCCTCAGACAGTCAGGAGATATTTTTCAAGCCCGAGTAAAGCAGTACCGGTAAAGCCAAAGGCACTGCACAGTCCAGCACCTCACAGCATCAGACAGAGGAAATCATTTGGCTTCCACCCCTCTTGTTGGATGACGGGAGTAGGATGATGCTTTTCCAAGCATAGGTGCTCAGAACTGGGCTAGGGAGAGACAAGTGAGGTCCATTCAGGGCAGTAAAAAGAATAAAAAGATTCATTTATTAGAACGATGCCAAGGGAAGAAAAACCCGGATCCATTCTCCCAGGAGCAGAGGAAAACCAAACCAGCCCCAAGGCAACACAGAGCCGAGGAGCCCAGAAGTCTCCACTA